TTTTCAACTTCAGTACACAGAAATCCTATCATAGCGGTGAGAAAAGATATTGAGCTAGGTCTTTCTTATCTTGGTTGCTTCACAATGTTGACGTGTCCCTTCCAGTCACCGCAATTTCCTTTCCTACAAACAATATGGGTGATGAGATCTTCTATGTTGCAGAACATCTTAGTGGTGGATGCTGATAAGATCATTATTACTTTATAATAGCTGAAGAGTTTTAAACACAGGAAACAATAATGAACCTGCTGTGATATTTCTCTTTTTATGAGAGAAACTTCAAATCAAATTAGGTTTTCTGTGGTCGCTTTATCATAAAACACGTTTAGTGCAAGTCAGAGCTATTAAGATTTGTGTTCAGAAAGGCAACAAGGCAGTTCGACTGAAAAATTGTACTTGCCCACTTGTGGAAAACTGCAAAGAAAAAGAAACAAATCAAACAAAGAACAAACCTCGCAATAGCTGATCCTCATCAACATCTACACCAACGTCAAACAGGAAGAAACAGAAATGTAGTTTATTGATGTCATAAAACTAATGTCATGCTTTTTATACAAAATATACAGCAATAAGATGAGCGGTCTGTCCATTCCATGCTCCATACTCACCGTTCTGCCACGCCTCAGTTCAACTACACTGATTTCACAAAGTGCTGAGCTGCCAAAATACGGGATATGAGAAAATGTCAGATATTATCCTCTGACAGCCTTACGTAACTCCTGAGCGTGTGTCAGGGATAATCCTCTTAGAGAGGAGAAGAGTCGCCTTAATAGGAAACAAAACACAGTTTGCCTCCTCTGTCCCCTGCTTTTAATAATCAAAATGGACTTTGTGCGAAGGCCACCTCACCAGAGTAATCCATGCTGGAGGACAAGCCTCTGCTCTCTAATGTATTACTACTTGTAGGTTCAAATGAACAGATAGTGATCGACATTGGATAAACAGATGTGTTTGGGTATTAAAATGCATCTGCAGGGATGTCCAACACAAAGCTAATACCAGTGGCATTGTGTTGTCAAACAAAATGAGGTAAGGTGAGGCAAATTCGTTCACACAATGAAATATTACACAGGCTGATATTTAAAAGCATCTTTGATTTGTCTTGCTTTCCAGTGGATTAGCTCATAAAATTGCATAGTCGTGAAGGCAGTGGTGTGTTTCATCGTAAATTACAGAGTGATAAGGATGATTGTAAAAGCCCACTTATCTGCACTGAGAGGGATAACAAGCTGGTTAGCCACGAGGCCAGCTGCACAGGGTGCAATCTTTGTTTTATTCAGACAAACATGTGTGAAGGTTTAACACAGTCAACACAACACATTACTAAAAGAAAGTGATGTAAATTTGGAAATAGTTTAGTTTAATTCAACAATATACAGTGTGTTCAGAATAGATATACTGTATGTTGCTCAATTACTGAATTCACTCAAACATTAAAAAAAAACACTGCAGTTTGTATTATTCTATAATTATAAAATGATTTTAAGTGATATTTAAAGTGATATTATTATTAATATTATTATCATTAATAATACGATAATGAGAAGTATGTCAATAAATCTATGTTAAATTCACCTACTGCTGAAGTGTAACTAAGCACTCTGTCCCCCTCTGGCGGTGTGAAAGAGAATTACTGGTTTGGGTCATCAACCTTCATCTTTTACCCAGGGCCGAAACTACTGCTGATGACACTGAGGTCATGTCCCTAGTATAAATAAATAAAAAATATGAAACATGTCTCGTCAAACTTACATTAGGGGCGAATAATGACCACAGAATCTCGATAACCTGTTTTTATCTAGACTTTAAATATTGTGAATTTAAATAAAAAGAAATCTGCCATCTATCAGTGCAACATTACTCTCAGGAAAAGAAGACAAAACATATTATTGTTTCGAAATTATCATGATATGGAAAACACACTCACACCTATCTGAGGAATATTTAAAGGTACAATGTGTAATTGTTGAGACCACTCTCCAGCTGTTTAATTCATACTCCAAAAACATCACATATTAGGTCATATATAACAACAATAATATAAGCTTTAGTTTATAAATATATAAAATACATGAAAAAACTAAAACATAGTTAATATGATTTCTTTTGTATTTAATATTTATCCTAACCAGAAAACCGTACAGATATTAAGGTTTCCTAGATTAGTTTTCCATTGTAATTTCCAAGAAGTATCCTGATCTGCTGTGTGCTAAAATATTCTCTATGTTACACAAGCAATTAGTTGGAATTCATTAATTGGAAGTGTGCCAATTGAACACTTTGTCTATTTCCCTGTAATGACAACAAAATTATGTAATTTTTCTGAAGGAAACATACTGGAAAAAGACAAACCCATAAAATAAAAAGTTACCATTTCAGTTACTGTATATTTTCCTCATTCCTTCCTTCTTTGGGCTGTGTGTTTTTTTTATCTGACAGAAATGCCCAAAATGACCAGACTCCTGTTTGTCTGTAAGAAGGTTGGCAGGGTTGTTCCTAAATACCACCTCCACTTGACTCCATAAACTTGTTGACGATGCTAAAAAAAGACACACAAAGTCAAGTCAAATGTATTTACAATAATTAATGTTTATTACTGCATTTCCAATTTAAGCCTAGAGTGTACCAGATCTATAATTAACTTTAATAGGTGGGATTACTGAGCAAGCAAGCCCACCTATGTTCTTCTCTGTTTCTCTTTATTGGTGGGATTGCTGGGCAACAGCTGCAATCCCGTCTATAGTCTCCTTGGTTTGTCTTTATTATCCTTATTCTTCCTTGTTCAGACTGTTCAACTTGAATATATTCAGCTCATTGAGGATCACAATCACTTTTGGTGTTTGTATCATTCATGCTTTTCTCCAATTCAAATGATTCGGCAGAATGTTCAGGATCAGAGTGGATGATTTGACGCAGAGGGCTGTTACTCTCTTCTTAAAAATTTCTCTTCAAATTATTCCCACAGTTTTCACTCTTCATGAATTATTCTTTCATCAAAACATTGAGAAATTCTTTCAAACAATGTAACTACACTGAACTCTCTATGTACTTCTCTATGTACACAAAAGACCTATTTCTCTCAAATATTGTTCACAAATCTGTCAAAATCTGTGTTAGTGAGCACTTCTCCTTTGCCGAGATAATCCATCCACCTCACAGGTGTGGCATATCAAGATGCTGATCAGACAGCATGGGTATTGTGCAGATGTGCCTTAGGCTGGCCACAATAAAATGTGCAGTTCCATCACACAGCACAATGTCACAGATGTCGCAAGTTTTGAGGGAGCGTGCAGTTGGCATGCTGACTGCAGGAATGTCCACCAGAGCTGTTGCCCGTGAACTGAATGTTCCTTTCTCTACCATAAGCGGTCTCCAAAGGCGGTTCAGAGAATTTGGCAGAACATCCAACCAGCTTCACAACCGCAGACCACGTGTAACCTCACCAGCCCAGGACCTCCACATCCAGCATCTTCACCTCCAAGATCGTCTGAGACCAGCCACCCAGACAGGTGCTGCAACAATCGGTTTGCATAACCAAAGAAGTTCTGCACAAACTGTCGGGAACCGTCTCAGGGAAGCTTATCTGCATGCTCGTCGTCCTCATTGGGGTTTCGACCTGACTGCAACTTCGAACAGCCATTGAAGAGGAGTGGACCAACATTCCACAGGCCACAATCAACAACCTGATCAACTCTATGCAAAGGAGATGTGTTGCACTGCGTGAGGCAAATAGTGGTCACACCAGGTACTGACTGTTTTCTGCCCCCCCGGATCCCCCCAATACAGTGGAACTTCACATTCCACACACCTGTGCAATACCCACGCTGTCTGATCAGCATCTTGATATGCCTCACCTGTGAGGTGGATGGATTATCTCGGCAAAGGAGAAGTGCTCACTAACACAGATTTTGACAGATTTGTGAACAATATTTGAGAGAAATAGGCCTTTTGTGTACATAGAGAAAGTCTTAGATCTTTGAGTTCAGCTCATGATGAATGGGGGCAAAAAGAAAAGCGTTCAGTTTTTTGTTAAGTGTATCTGGGCAAACAGACTTTTACATTTTGATGAGCAATGAACCTCAAAGTGAGTGCCACCGGACTGCCCCATTGACTCCAATGTTAACTCAGATAAAAAATGTCAGGAGCAAAACAGAAACAGGGACTTTTTTTTAAATTTGCTGTATTTCCCACTTTTCTGACACCATGACAACATATTTTACAGAAAACCAGTCAGCAGAGTCCACTCTCTCTCTCATGATGTAAAAATCATGAATACCACTTTGTGCCTGTCAGCTTAATCTCTACGACCCAGTAAGACCAAAACAGGTCTTACATACAAACATTTGAAACTTTTCAACTGCTATTTTTACTACTTCCATTACTTCCTCTCATGTGACTCTAGTAAGTGACCAATATGACCTAGGAGTGCCTCAGCCGTTAACAGCAGTTGGTGGATTCTTAAGTGACGTGAAACACACACACACACACAAGCCAGTCGTGTCCTTTCAAACAAGGAACTCATTTTACAAACTCACACATATATGTCCAGATATACAGGAGACTGTAGACATGCATGCATACATGTTTAAATGTATAAAAAACAATTGACTTGACATTTGTGTGAAACTGCTGCTACATACTGTATCTCACAGAAGGCTTTAAGGCAGCAACAAACAGAAAAACACACACACACACACACACACACACACACAAACAAGCAACTGAACTTCTAATACACGGCAGCTCATTTCAGTGCTTGTAGGGCTCAGACCTCAGCTGGTAGTTCACCCTTATTCCGACTGAGACACTTGAATGACACCTCAGCTCCTTCTCTGTACACTTAAGCTCATTTAAGTCCTTATACTAGCTGTGCATAAAGCGATGCAGTCCAGCTTCCAGCTTTTCAAGCAATGCAGTTTAGCCCCCAGCTACACATGGAGCAATACAGCTCAGCCTCAGCTTTTCAGCAGCCAGCAATCCCACCACAATATCTACAGAAATTGCATTCTCTAGTTTTTATTGCACTACAGTTTAGCAGAGCAGATGGCCTGACATTCATTTAAATATGCTTATTTACAACAAAGAAAATGTGAACTCCTCAAACAAGAAGAAATGTAAACAGGGTTTGTCATTCAGTAAGTTTGGGAGAGTAATCTCTCTCAACTAAGACAAGAAATCTGTAAAAGTTTAGTCTTGCTTGAAATCTACATTCAGGATCTGAAGACATACGCTGCTGTGAGTCCAACGTGGTAGAAACTATCTGCAGAAGAAAAAGGTAGCAAAATCCTCTAGCAAATACTCAAGAGGACATATCCGTTATGTCTGTCGACACATGGGCTCTGTGGTCACTGCGGCTCTGCTGGGTGCAGTTCATCAATTGTCCACCATGAGGCGCTGGTCTGACATGGCAAGAGGAAGGTATGAGAGTCCAGTATCATGCAGGAAACCCAGCACTCCTTTCCTTCCTCCACTGTGCAGTGAAAACCAAACACCAGCTCATAACCTGGGAATAAGAGAATCTATATGGTAAAGCCTGTTAACAGTGGGAAACATACAGTGTTATGCTGAAAATAGTTTCTCTTTCTACACAGCTAAGATCTGGGATGCAGCAACCCTGATATGCACAACTCTGTAACCTCATCTGCTTTAAATCGTTGTTAACAATTATAGCATAGCTGTGCTTTGTTATACAATTTAAAATTCCTTTATTTAACACATTTCAACTATCTCAGTTAAAATAGTTAAAACAGAATGCAGAACTACTATTTAATTGATTCCAAATAACCTGGTCCAGATCTATACACTTATACAGTCTTAATTGACCATTAGCTTAGTTACTAGCTGCTACATCTGTTTACAATGAGAACCCTGACAGATTTAACACAGATTTTACACAAATTTGTGGTAATATTTTGAAAGTACTGTTCATTGATTTCAGGCAGAGGTTAACAAAAGCAGATTTTGTTGGCTGGACTGTGATGAGTGGAGTATAGCGAATTAAGCTAATGTTATCACCATGAATTGGTTGAAAACGCTGTCTCCGACTGACTATTTGATGTTCCCAGCTAGAATCTTAAATTTGCACTTGATAGCTACATAGATAGCGACATTCATGATACTGAGCATGTCCCAAGAAAAGAAATCAGTGAGTCATGTAGATGGATTCAGCACCAAATAAACTGCATTGTTCTTGTATTACTGTAAAAATAGTCAGCCCTAATAAGACTTAAAACAAATGAGAACAGTCCTTTATTTCAATCTAAAATAACCTGTTTAGTTTCATAGTTTGCTCATTCATATTTTAAAACAGTACTTTTTCATTTTTAATGTTACAAGAGAAAGGGCTTTGAGTGAGGATTAATTGAGGTGTTTGGCAAATATAACAAGCCTACCTTTGGTAAGAGTGGCTGGGGTTTCTGGAGTGTAACTACCCCAAATACAATAAAGAGGAGGACAGAAATGCTAACGTTAGCCTAAACTCTGATAGCATCCAGGACTGGTTTTCACACAGTGGGGAAATACTACAAAGTAGATGTACTAGTCGTGAACTGGGCTATGACCCCTATAACCCCCAACCCGTACTAATGTAGTTAGATAATGGTGTTCAACTAGTTAGCTAGACATGCTAATGACTGCAGCTTACATTAGAGCAGATAAACACACAGTTGAATCGATTCCTCACACTTTTGATTTAATTTTTTGGCCAGAAAGAAGTGCATCATCGTCCAAACTCTTTAAATGGCTCCCACTGCTCTCACTGCAGCTTAATGTACACCACTTCAACATTACTAATCGAAAAGGTTGACGTGCCTGCCATGCCTAGTTATAGTTGCGAGCTATGTTTGGGCAGTCCTCGTTCATTCCAAAAAACAAAACCCCGACACAAGATATAAACAGAGCTGAATAAACAAGTACAAGCTGTTTCTGAATCTCTTGCTGTACCAATTGGTGCATTCAGGGCCATTCCTTGTGATGGGCCCTGTCTTTCTTGTTCTTCTCGTTTTTCTCCTTTTGCAGTCTCTCCAACTCTGCCTCATACATCATCTCCTGGATCAGGTATTTCTCCCTGCGCATTCTGTCCCGCAGGTCTTTGGGAAGGTCGGGGATCAAGTATGCGATCAGGGTCTTGATGGCAAAGACCATATGCTGCAAAAACAGGGTAAGTCATCAATGCCAGAACTATGCCTTTACAATAAAACCAAACCTTGAGATTCATAGAAACTTCGTTTGTCAACTAGCTTTAAAAGGAAGTTTGATTTGTTTAAACATAGTTTGACATCTATTGTGCAATTAAATCTTTTGAAATGATCGATGAAAGGGGAAATGCCTTTTTGTTGTTACACTGTGTCCCTAATTGTACTGTGTCCCTAACTGTAATGTCACATTAAAAATAAAAATACACACACAAAATATCACAATTTGTATTGAGTGTCAGAATATGAAAATGTGTTTTTTTTGTAGTCAACTGGCCCGTTTGAACAGTCTAGGACAGCTGCAGCAAGGTGTTAGTAGCTTTATAATGGAGCAAATTATTTGTCAGAATATTACAGAAATAATAATAAAATAATGTTAGGCTTTAAAATACCATAACAGCAGCACATAATCATGTTGGTAAGGGAGAAGTACAGGATGACACTGGTTATATAATTAAAGTACAATGCAGGACAGTGATGACACTGGGTCTGTTATCCTGGGAGGTCATAAATAAAGCCTGGTGTAGGCCTCAGTCCAGTTACGAGGTACAATATACAAGGTTAATAATACCTTAACCTGCAATTATTGATGAAATGATTTTATAAAGCTGATATGACCAAGATGTTAGCAAACAGTTGCTTAATTATACATCTACTGTAGCAGACCTGGAGCAACTTTGTCATTCATTCAGAGTCGTGTTTCAGCCCAAGTTCACACTCCTTTCAGCTATGTTTTCCACCGACTCCTGAGGGAAATATCTGGCTTTTAGCTGCTAAATGCTCCATTAGCTAGTCGCTAACATTGTCTGTCCCTTGTTTAATGCTTGTAGGCAGGTAGTGCACAGGTAGTGGGTTTAGCAGAGCTTTTTCACTGACACAGCAGCTGGAGACAAAGTGGACGAGAGCGGTGACAGTGAACCAAAATGGTGAACTTGCAGGCTGGACAACCATGAAACAATGAACTGAAAGATACTAAAACACTGTGTAGAGATCAAGGGAACTGCAGAGAGTAGTGCTTTTCTGTGGGTTTAACATTACACATAGCCATTTAATTCATTGTTTTACTGCATGGTGATGGCGCAGTGGATACGAGGCATGCCTTTGATGTGAGAGACCCGGGTTCAACTCCCTACTGCAATACATCCACCAACGTATCCCTGGGCAAGACACAAAACCGCTAGGCTTTAATTGTTTTAAGGTGTAGACGAAGCTAAACAAGATTAGTTTGAACCACCTTAAGTGGTGGTGTAAGTCCTTGTTAGTGGCAGTGTATGTACACAGCACTAGACTGAGGCTGCTTATGAAAGATGGAACAAGTACAGAAATCATGTAGTTGCAATCAGAGGAGTAAAAACAGACAAGACATGTGAAACTCATTAGTCTCACAAACTGATTACATCAAAATGGTTAATTGTGATGGAATTTTGTTGAGCTGCTCCTACCTATGTATTTGTCTTGCGGTGGCTATCAGCTGCTATTCACTGAAATATCTAACAACATGAATTTAAAGTTAAACCTGTCAACACAGGAAAAAAAAGTTTAGTCATGCTTGAAATCAGGAAGTCAGTCCAGGTAATTCAAGACTAAGATGAATCTAAAGCATTTCTAAACAATTTTCTAAGAGATCCAAATGAGTTCATTTTAAATGACTAGTTTTCTTTATTTTCTCTGAACATATTAGAGAAAAATGTTAAAGAAGATGTAGAGGAGCACTCATGGGTGGAGACAGAAAAGTAAAAAGCATCGACAAAACAAATTGAAGGAATCCATTCCAAACCCAGCTTCCTGCCTGGTGTCATTTGTCAACAATAAAAAACACTGACCTCAAATACAATGATGAATGCCAGCCGGGCTGCCAGGACGTGCCAGAACTGCAGAGTGTATGAGTAGGGCTCAGCAGAGTCTGGAGGCTCCCTGTAGTCACGATACCTGGTGGGTCCCACAGAGGCGTTCAAAGGTCATCACAAAGTGGCACAAATGACAGCCAATGACATGTCAGTGATTCAACAACTAACAGAAATCTTTTGGAGTTGTTAAATGTTATATTAAGATTCAAGATAACTTGTGTGCAAAATATGTATTTGGCTTTAGGTTGTCTTACTGTGTAAAATACAGTTTTTTTTTAAATTGAGAACACTTATGCTTTAAATGACCTTTATGTGTTTATTTATTCCTGTTGAAGCTGCCTTCTGGGTTATATCTACACTCCTGTTTGAATTATTTATTTTGTGATTTATATTTTATGTGGAGCTCAGTTAGATCCTGTGTGTTGGCTAATAGGCCTCATTAATAAAGTGATGAATGAACACACACAAAATAGGTTATGCAATCCATCCTGGGGTTGCACAAATGCTTGCAGCCAAATCCTGTTAAAAATGAATAAGCTTCTGACAGGTGTTTCTTTTTTAGTGCAATGGATACCTAACCTAAATCTTTTTTTGGTCACAGAAAAACCATCTCATACAATAATGTGGGTGCAGACACGCAGGCACACCTGCAATACTTCACAGATTCTCCAAACAGCTCGGTGCCAGATGTTTTGGGCTGTGATCTCTTCTCAAAGTCAGACACTCGGAATACTGAAAGACTGGCGTTGACATAACCCATCATACACCTGAGGAACAAATGAGAAATCACTACTACACAAAGTTATTCAAGTCCAAGAAACAAAGGAACTTGCAAGATCAAGTGTCCAGCTTATTACTAACTAATATTATTTTAACTGAAACAATTTAACTGTTCAGTCAGCACTTACCCCTCCCCTGCTCGTCCCTGACCAGCACAAGGGCCATATTTGTAGGCATAAACAAGGCGAGGGATGAAATCTGAGGTAACAGCGATGACAAAGGCGTTGGTGATGACAGACAAGATGCCGATGCCCTCCAGAATGCCATACCAGATCCCTGCCACAAACTCACACAATTAGACATGAAATTTCACCTAAAGGGAAACAAGTCCTGTGCCTGTATATGTAACATATTTAATTTACCTATGTCTTTGGCTTGTGAGGGCAGAGGTCGCCGCCACTGTGTGACAAACTTGTAGGCGTCTAAGCGAATCTCAATGACGTTGTTGAGCAGCGCTAACAGAGGGGCCAGGGGGAAAGCTGCCACAAAAATGGTGGTGAAGCCAAACTGCAAAACTGAAACAAACACAAAAGCCACAAGCCGTCAGGTCCCATAGTACCTGCAGATGTTGATTTTGGCTAACATTTTAGCTAACAGCTACATATTTATACATCCAGCAAATATGGAGCAACATTTAGTCATGTTTCTGTCCACCAATATTCACTCCCTTTTCAGCTCTGTTTTGGTCTCCAATTCCTGCAGGATATATTTAGCTTTTTTAGCTGCTAAATGCTCCACTATCCCAACAAGCTAGTTGCTTTGTCTATTAACCTTTTGGTGCTGGGTCGGTAGTGAACAGTGGATTTGGCAAAGGCTTTTTGCTGAAAATAGCTGCCTGCTGCATATGAAAACAACTCTGATGACAGCATTGAGAATGAACAAAAACAATAAAGCTGTCAGCTGGAAAACCAAAACAAGTAGTTGAGATATAATTCTCTACAAGTGACCCCTTTCACATTTTCCATTGTTAAAAACAATATTAATTAGTGCAGCTTTAGGTTTGTTTTTATCCACTCAGTCACAAATGTGAATGAACAACTATTGTTACATTTGTTGTACTGCACGTCCTTTTCGCATTTAAATATCTGATATATTAGATATGACAGTGGAGGGCAACAATAAAGATGTGAACATTTGGAAAAGCTCCCAGCCCAAATTCAATCCACAGCAAATCAGTGTCACTGTTACATAACATGCACTGCAGCTGCTGAGGTCATCAAATGAAAAAGGTTTAAGGTTTTTACTATTACTGGAGCTATCTGTGCTCAACATATAAGAAAACCTATGCGTGGCACTTGCAGTTGTAACATACTCATTTCTAAGTATTCATCAAAAAGTCCATAGGCATTCATTGGCTGTAGGTTGTAATCTCTCTCCCACTGTGGGAAGCTGGCCTTGGCTTTCTGTCCGTGCTCTCTCCTCAGCCTCCGCCGTGTCCACCAGTTTTGGACCAACCTAGCACAACAACAACAGATTATAGGAGAAACAATTGCTTTAGTATAGAAACAAGTGGATCTAATTTCATCTGTGAGTAACTCTGCAGTCAGGGATCCAGTCTACTGTTATTATACGCAGAAGAAATGCAATAGTTGACGTAATCTATACTCTGCGTTGGCGTCTGTAGCTACCTGTCGGAATTGTTTTTCTTATTTTACCAATAAGGTGGTGTCAATCAGAGCCTCTATTACCCCCACGGCCTCTTACTCAGAGGTCCCTCACCAGCAGCAAGAGAGTTTTATCCAGTTTTATCCCATCGATTTGTCTGAGCTTTTAAAAACAGTATCGCAAATGAGAGTGTCCTCCAGCCCACTTGATGTAATACCTACAAGGTTTTACTGAAAGTAATGGATTCTGTTGGGCCCCATTTGATCTCTATTTTTAACAGCTCCCTGTCTACTGGTTGTGTCCCTGATTATTTTAAAACTGCTTGTGTGAACCCACTTTTAAAGAAACCTGGTTTAGATCCCTCCCAATTTCAAAACTGCCTTTTATTGCAAAGATTCTAGAAAGAATTGTGTCCAAACAGCTGCTCACTGTACTGGAAAATAACAAATTATTTGAAAAGTTCCAGTCCGTTTTCAGGAAGTACCACAGCACTGAGACTGCCCTGCTTAAAGTCACCAATGACCTTTTAATGTCTGCTGATGAAGGTATGTGCTCAGTCCTTGTACTCCTGGACCTTAGCGCTGCTTTTGACACCATTGATCACAACATCATGTTAGACAGACTGAGGCACTGGGTGGGGATCTCTGGTACTGCCTTAGAATGGTTTTCATCCTACCTGTCAAATAGGAAGTTTTGCTTGTTTGTAAACAACTATGTCTCTTCGTTCTGTCCAGTTAAATATGGTGTGCCTCAGGGGTCGGTCTTGGGACCCATTTTGTTTTCCTTGTATCTGCTTCCCCTTGGACATATTATCCATAAACATGGTATTTCTTTTCATATTTACGCTGATGACACACAAATATACTTGCCCGTCAGATCCACAGACCCTGGAATGCTGAGTTCACTTAACAACTGCCTTTGTGAAGTTAAAAAATGGATGTCAAATAATTTCCTCCAGCTGAACTCAGACAAAACAGAAATCCTAGTCATCGGGTCCCAGCAGATGGCAAAACAAATACTGCCATCTGCTGGTTCCCTAGTAAATCACATTAAGCCTGTTGCAAAGAACCTTGGTGTCTGGTTTGATAGTAATTTAAATTTTGAGCAGCACACCACAAAGCTTGTTCAATCATGTTTTTATCAACTTAGAAATATAGCAAAAATTCGATCTATGTTAACTTTTAAGGACACCGAGACGATTTTACACGCCTTCATCTTATCACGCCTGGATTATTGCAACAGCCTTTTCACCTGTTTAACCCAAAAATCTACTGATCGACTCCAGACTGTCCAGAACTCAGCTGCCAGGCTTTTAACCAGAACAAAGAAATATGACCACATCACCCCTATTTTAGCTTCATTACACTAGCTCCCAGTATGTTTTAGAATTGACTTTAAAATTCTATTGATCACTTTTAAAGCTCTTCATGGCCTCTCGCCTTGTTATATTTCTGACCTTTTAGTCCCATAACACCAGCACGTACCTTGAGATCCTCGGACAGAGGTCTGTTCTCTGTTCCAGTGTCTCGACTGAAAACTAAAGCAGAGAGAGCGTTTGCTGTCAGGGCCCCGAGGCTCTGGAACAGCCTGCCCGAGGAAATCAGGTCGGCTCAGTCAGTGAACTCTTTTAAGTCCCTTCTTTAAACATACTTTTATAGGAGAGCCTTTCCCAACCTTATCTGACTTTATTTTATCCCTTTTATTTTATTCTATTTTACTTATTTTATATTTATCTTAAACGTGTATTTTAGTCTTTTCAATGTTTTCTTGCTTTTATCTTGTATTGTTTTTGTATTATTGTCTTTTGGGTATTATTGTATTTATACTTGTTAAAGCACTTTGTTACTTGTTTTTGAGAAGTGCTCCACAAATAAAGATGATTATTATTATTATTATATTTGACTGAGCATATTTACTGGAACACCTAATAAGCTAATTGCTGATCATTTAAAGAGAATTATTTGGTTCAGAAATATGCTGGTATGGCTGACATTTGAAGGCTATGAAAGAAACCATTGGACCCACGGGTAGCCGAGCTCCATGAAATTGTTCCAGGTCTGTTTTAGCACCATGATGATCCCCATCTGCATACAGAGGTCAATGAGACATCCACTGGGGTGACACTGCAGCAACAGAGAGAGTGAGAGAGAGAGTCAAATCACACCTACAATGGCCCTTTTCAAATGTGAGCAAAATTGGGGCACTCTGCATTGCTGTAGAAAGTCTCATCAGTCCTGTAAGAATCACTCACTGGAAAACAACAAATGTTTCAGTCTACTCAGTCTAGTGGAATGTCACACAGACCAAAGTTATTTTAGCAATGAACACGTAATGTATTGACTAAAGCTACAGCAGCACTGGGCCACATTAGAAGACAGGGATGAGTTCTATGTAAACACCATAAACACAACAGAGGACAGACACTAAACATGATTACTACGCATTCAGGAATTATACTGCACTTATGTCATTTATAAAATTAATTTTAAAAAAATTGACATGCACATAAACATTTCAAAGTATGAGAGTCCCTACAGTTTATTTTACTGTGGTTACCTCTAATCTCGTCGAAGCTGGGTTGAGCTATGATGTCACACGACCCCATGTACCAGTGGGAACGATAACAGGGTAAGTGAGGGAGCTGTCAATCAAGCTCAGTCTTTACACAACTAGTGGGCTTGACCTATTGGTGTTTATAAAGTATAAAACAGTCTTCAGAGAAGTGGATCACTAAGATTCAGTATTTTGGGCAAATGACCACATTTCACATTCTCTAGCTGAGTCCCAAACCCATAACACATTATATTCAGTATGTTCACTGTTAATATAAAGTATGACATTGTGTGGGGCATGTATAGTATGTTTTGCAGATGTGAGCAGCATTTCCTTTGTGCATTGCATTGCGGGACAATACTGTGCATCAACAAAACCTGGTGTGAACACACTACATACTCAAAACCTGCACTACACATTACAGAGATTTTTCCATTTCAATTTCAGCAGCCGTGGAAACAATGGGAGCAGCTCAGCACCTAAAAGCGCCAGCTCAGGCCTTTTGTCCCCTTGGACCGTTTCACTGTGTCTTATTTCCCCGCATGTTCCCATAAGTACTGCTGGCACCAACACTTGCTGCTGGTTAAATGCCTGGTGGTTGGGCATACAGTAATAGCTTGATGTCTAATTAAGAAATACTGAGATCCATAATGCTTTGCTGGTATCCTCCCATGGGAAAGCAAAGTAATGACTCACTTCTTCCAGTTTCCAGCGATTGATGAGGCGTAGATATGCACCAGGCCGGCCTGTAAATCTGTCAACCAAGAGAAAACAATAATTTTTAAAATAAAGCTCTACTATTATATGTGTTTAATATGTTTTACTCATATTATACTGACAAACCAAACCTGTTGATAAATGGAGATACAGCGCCAAACTCATTTAAAGAGTAGAAAAACTTGCCACACATCTGGCTTCCATGCCAAACATAGCCCAGATCAGTTCTGCTCGAAGTTGTAAATGTATTAGGATTACTGTTGTTAACCATCCATAATTGACCTACTATAGGCATAACTGATAGAGATCTATATCTGTGTGCTATTTATACCCCCCATAGATTTTCCTTATTTTGTAGAAGACATTTTTGACACTCTCCACCCAGAAATCACCTATTTCCAGGCCCAGGGAAACGTGTTTCTAACTGGAGATCTGAATGGATGAACAGGAAGTGAACCTGAAGTCACTGACCCACAGGGCAACAGCCATGTGTTTGGTCAGTCTCCCTGGTTTACCACACCACCCATCTCCCATTGGAGCAACCTTGAGGTTGGCTGGGAGGTAGTGCATCTCTGTCAGACCTTAGGCCTGTACATAGTAGGTTCAAAAGGGACTATACTCCTCAGCTCTTGGGTTTAGTGTAGAAGACTATGCAATCACTGACATGGAACCCTCCACTATCAGTGCCTTCATTGTCAGACAGTAATCCCCTCTTTCAGCCCACAACCAAATAAATGTGTATTTTAAACTCTCAGGTCAAATGAGTGACACAAAAAAGGAATTCAGTAAGCTATATAAATGAAATCCTACTTACAGAGGGGCCCCAGACAGTGGAGACAAATTCATCATGGCCTTGAACTCACCTGTTCTAACGAATGACAGATCCGAATATGACCAAAATCAAAATGTCCCTGCCAGAGATGGTGTAAAAAAAGGCCAGTGATAATCTCAATTTAATATTTCATAAGGAAGCTAATAAAGCCGACTTTATAAAATAAAAATGGGATCCTGTTAAAAGACCAAATGGTTTGACCAAGAAATCAAACAATCATAAAAGACCTGAGAAAAAGAGCAAGTGAAAAACATCGCCAACCACACAAACCAGCCTTAGGTACAATGGAATTTTAAACAAATATAAACGTTCAATTAGGAACAAAAAACTAAAATACCCACATGAAACTAGACGATATTGAGAACGCCATTAATCAAAATTATTCTGGGATATGTGGACACAAAGCAACTACAAGCACTGCAAGCATTGGTGACATCTGGAAAGCACATTCTGAAAATCTGTACAAAACATACCAATACATCTAATTAATTCAGATTAATGCACTACAAAAGAAACACTCCAAACAATTAAAGAAACAATAAAGACAACAAAGCCCCCAGTTTCTCAATTACTTGGGAAGAATTGACCACACAGAGAAAATCTCTCTGGCCAAAGAAAGAAAATAAAAAATGTAATGCTCAAGAGCAGCTCCACAGAGATGCAAGGTGGACTGTTGAAGTTGTTCAATATTGTATTACAGTCTGGATATTTTCCTGACATCTATTGGAAAGAACTCATTTCCCCCATTCATAAGAGTGGGGACAAATCAGACCCTAGTATCTACCGTGGCATCTGTGTCAGCAGTAGTCTGGGTAAATTATTCTGTTGTATTCTACATAAAAGAATACTAGATTTACGAACACTCCATCTTGAATAAAAATCAAATTGGCTTCCTCCCAAAAAACAGCACCACTGACCATGTATATACTCTTAACACTTCGATTAATAACAAACGAGATAACATATTCTAAAACATATTCTAAACCAAATATAAACACAAAGAAACCTATTTGGGAGATTGGAAAGAAGAAACTAAAAGCCAGAGTAGATTAGAATGGTATCTGGTCCTATAAAGAGATTATGAACTGGCAGAATATCTCTATACTGTCAGAGATGGTAAGGATCTGTCTCTACTTTCTAAGTACAGTAACTGATATGTGGTCACTGTTGGACAGGTGAGGCTGAGACAGAGATGCACTTCCTCATAATGTAAAACATTCAATGAAATCAGGAACATTAAGTTTAACAACATTTAGTTTACATCCCCCCGTGTCCACCAAAGCATTTTTCTGCCAGCTGAAAACGCCAGCTACTCCCAGTAGGGAGCGCTAGCGGACGTTTTTGAGGCACAGCGTTTTTTCCGCCTGCTTTGGTTGCTATGATACATTTGTTGCAAGTAGTTCGACCTAACTTTACTGGATGTAAAAATGTCAACCATGTTCACCAGAGCTTCAAAGGTTGCCACTGGACCCCCCCCCACTCCTTTTGAAGCAATGCTGGCAGCACTCATACAACTATTTCCCAAAGACAACCTCGGGATATGATGCTGAGCACGTACACTCAACTTCTTTGGTCGTCCATGGCGAGGCCTGTTCTGAGTGGAACCTGTCCTGTTTAACCGCTGTATGGTCTTGGCCACCGGGTTGCAGCTCAGTTTCTTATAGCCTCGGCCATCTTTATGTAGAGCAACCATTCGTTTTTCAGATCCTCAGAGAATTCTTTGCCATGAGGTGCTGTGTTGAGCTTCCAGAGACCAGTATGGGAGCGATAACACCAAATTTAACACACCTGCTCCCGATTCACACCGGAGACCTTATAACACTAACGAGTCACATGACACCGGGGATGGAAAATGGTTAACTGGGCCCAATTTGGACATTTTCACTTGGGGGGTACTCACTTTTCTTGCCAGCGGTTTAGACATTAATGGCTGTGTGATGTGTTATTTTGAGGGGACAGCAAATTTACACTGTTATCCAAGCTGTACACTCACTACTTTACATTGTAGGAAAGTGTCATTTGTTCAGTGTTGTCACATGAAAAAATATAATCAAATATTTACAAAAATGTGAGGGGTGTACTCACTTTTGTAATTATGTTTTTATTTCATACTTGCTTTTGCAATTTAAATGTTTGTTTCCCAAACCAACAAAGCTCCACTGAACTGAATGTCACTTCTGCAGTGACACATGATGTACATATTCAATCTGTGAGCTCTGCATGACTTTCTCACCTTCCCAAAAAGAAGGCAATGTAGAAAGTTGAACTGTTGAGATTGACAAACTGAAAAAGGAACATCTTGAGGGTAAAGCTGTTCTCCCACTCTGACTCTGTTCTTGGCTGTTCTGTGGTGGCACGGAGAGAAAGGAGGAACAGTGAGCTAAACTGATAAAATGAGAGAAATGAAATATTTGATTTGCTGGTACTGTCAACTTACCCAAATTAGTAAGAAGAAGAGCAACTTTTTCATAGAGCTATAAAAAAGATACAGTGTTGAGACCATTAGTGAGTCTTTACATGTACATCTGGAACTTCTCATGCTACACTCCATCTTTGCACTACTGCTGTTGATGGACAGCAGAAACTCACCACGTTGAGGAGCATGATGACACAGAAGTTGATGCAGACTGCCGTTCCTGTGGTTGCCACCTGAGAGTTGTTCCTGATGAGAGCCCAGCCGAAGGCGGCGAAGGTGCTGACGGTGATCACACGGTAAATGACGATGCCAAACACAGCAGCAATCACGACCAGTATCTGTGGCATCATAGTGACATGCAAAAATACCATTACTAGCAATGATAATAAATATCAACGTCACATTGCACTTAACACAGTAGATATGTTATCAAGTGATTTACATTAAGAATGAAAATAGGAAATAGTACCTCACTGCACATACAAATGATGTGAGAAGAAGGTGAGAGTGGCACACCTGCAACTTGACCTTTATTTACTCCAGAAACTCACCATGAAGAAGATCCCGGATGCTGAGACGATGAGGCGACTGTATTTGTCAGTGAAGGCCTGGTAAGGTTCTGGTTTTCCAGATATGGGGTTCATCCTCTCCTTCTTAGAGTATTTGGCCTCAAACTGGGGGCGTATTTCATCCTGAAAGAAAAAGGACAAGACATGTGAGCAAATAAAATCTAGCAGTAAATGTGAATTGCTTCAAAAAGAATTCTTACTAGGCTATACAGTATTTCTGTACAGACAGTGTGGAGGAAATGATCCACTTGCGAAGGGTCTAATAGTTCCAGGGTCTAATCCAGTTAGCAGCTATTGTAGGCAGTTGCTAGGTGATAACTGGCAGTTTTAACAAATCATACCATTGTTTTAAGCTTATTAACCTAAACACTCTGAAATGACGGGTCACAGCTTTCTCATTTTTTAGTGTGTGTAGTGCTGGATGTAATATTATTTTTCTAATTGTAGTTATACCACTACCATTTTTTGTGTCTTCAAAGGAGCTCTACCTTAGATACTGTGGTACTATGTTAAGCTTTGGTCCCACCTGACCTGTACTGACTATTTAAAATTATGATTTTGTGTGTGAGGCTCAGGCTATTGGTTATGTACTTCTTTGCATCAGGTTCTCGTTGGTTGATTCTGAATTACTTTGGTGTCATTCATTGTTAGCCTAGCTAATACAAGCTAAATTCACATAAAATTAAAATTTTAAAAAAAGGTTGTGTTGGATGAATGGGCAGTGATTGGTGACAACTAAGATGTCATGAAACGAAGACATGAAATAAAAAGTCACATTATGAAAAGTAATAAAGTGAAATAAACCATCAGTCATTGGAAAATGCCACTGTGATAAACAGACTTCTGAAAAAGAATAAAAAGAAAAGTGTCTAATCATTAATTTCTACAGTGAAATAACATTTCTTTTCAGTTTATGTGGCAGTGATGTGCCCGAAATGTATTGTATATGCATGCTGTTGAAGAAATTTTATTTAGCATTTAGCCATGATGTTTGAATATTCCATATGCCTAGCTTGATAACTACTAAATACTAGGGTAATGTTGAAGATAATGTTTCAGATGTTTATTGGTCTGAGGGACAATGGGGCCTTTATGGATTATAACAAATTGTTGCTAGCACCTGCACTCAGGCCTAGTAAAATACAAGACTAGACACATGAATACAATGGGCCTTTGCAAGTGGATTGCGACTCTGAAGGCAGTGAAGGTCATCATGGAAGCACACAAACAGCACACAAACTTGGAATGGATGTGTTGATGTTAACCAACTGTGTGGTTGTTTTATGCTAATCAAATGACGTCTTATTGATCAGTGTCACATTTCAGTCTTATTACTTTAGAAGTGTTGAAGGATAGAATACACTGTTGTTTTACTATTGAATATGTGTGGAGGTGGGTCTATCATATATCAATCAGTGTAATACAGAGTTTGAAGTGTCTGCTCCTGGGACCAGCTCGGAAACATGTGTATGTGGGGTTTTTTTTGCTTGAAATTATCACTACACTTGAGTTAACTCGAACTTTACTGGAGTTATTGTCTCATTGAAGATTAGCATTGCATCTTAAGGACCACAATTTATCTAAGTAACAGTTGCAACTGAGTCAGTTTCACACCCACAAACAGAAGTCTGTGTCTCACTTAGAGTATGATTGACAGACAACTGTCTGTATGATAAATCCACCAAGATTTCTCACAAAACCAAATTGCAGTATGACAGCTGTGTAGGGTTTGCAAGTTGAGTTGTCCCTGTAAAAATGCTGTGAAGGCGGAAACACTGGCATTGTTTGAGGTGACATCTCTTTGGGCGAAGCCGAAGAGCAACAAGTTAGAAAGTTAAACTACAATGAAAGGACCCTAAATAGAATACAGTATGGCAGCAAATTCTTCTATTATATTTATTATATTTAGCTGCAGATACAGAAATACCAAAACTGAAATGACCACAGGAAGTAAGTACTTCACCTCCTCTTCCTCCCAGTCAATGAGGTCCCAATCGTATGCGAGGACAGCTCTGCGTCTTTTCCAGAACTCCAGGAAGACTGTTGCTGGAAGACATGAATAAAACAGCTTCAGGTGTTTGCATGTGATTTCTGTCACACTGTGATGCCCTGTGGGGTCATGAGTGGGTGTGGGTGTGGTCTCTCTCTCTCTCTCTCTCTCTCTCTCTCTCTCTCTCTCTCTCTCTCTCTCGTGGCTCAAGAGATGATTGTGATAACTGAAAGCACCTGGGCCCAGTGTCTTTGAGTGTAGGCTATTTGTAACCTGTTGTCTCATTTTGCAGGAGGCTGCTGTCGAGGCCAGGTCAGACCTCCCTGCGGGCTGGCTCACTGGTTTCCCCTTTAGTTTGGTTTTCTTTGGTAGGACTATTGCTTTGTGGTATTTATCTTGTTTTTGCATATACAACACCTTCACACATACATTCATGCAACCATCATCCTGCACAGACACTACTAAAACCACAGACTACATACTTCATACTTTAATTATGTTAATTTGAAATAACTATTAATTTGGCTTTTTATTGTTAAACATATGTTAACCGTTTACCATGGTGTCTCCCTTCTGTTGTGGCCTTTTGAGCCAGGTCATAACAAATAGGGGCTCATCTAAAGCTTAGTGCAGTAAAACTTGTTGGTGCATCAGGTTGTGTGGTGTCACTGCACTGCTGATTAGTCATTTGGTCCAGCTGTGTGCTGGTTTTGTGCTTTGTCTTGGGAGATGCATCATGTGTATTGAGTTTTCAGGGAGCCTTAGTGCCTGATTGGGATAAGGTTTTTGTGTGCTGATCAGAGGGTAAGTGTAACTGTGTTTTTGGTATGCTCTGTACAGGCATTCCCCGTTAGGTATAAGTGGCGTTTCCCCTTTGGGTTGCGTCAGTTTGTTGTTTTCATACAGTTGTGGTGACGTGGTTAGTGTCAGCTGTTTTCGGACAAGCTGTCCATGCCTGCATGAAGGTCACACCGCAAATCCACTGGTTTTGCGTGCGTAAATATCCACCACAAGCAGCATGAAGACTAGGGGTGAGTAGTAGGTAGTTTTTTAGGCAGTCAGGTGGATGTGTTCCTGTTGGTGGTGTTGTGTCTGTAGTTAACATTACTGTCTGATTGGTAAGTTGCATTTATGGCTTCTTTGACTTCATTTTTTGGTGCGCCTACGGTGGCGTTCATCAATGGTTGTAAGAAGGAGCAATTGGTGAAGATGGCAGATCATTACGGCGTTGTTGTAAGGGTGACATTAAAAAGGTAATACTGTAATCTTTGTTTGAGCAGGGGGTCTGGCTGCAGAGGAGCCTATGTCTGTGCTGGTGTTACCACCAGAGATGGTTGAAATGCCAGGTTTGTCATTCGAACAGCAAAAGGAGATTTTTGTGATACAATTGGAAATGGAAAAACTTCGTCAGCAGGATAGAGAGGGAAAGGCAGCTTGAGGTTGAGAAGCTCCTTGAATTAGAAAAAATTCAGAACAGTCCAAATTACAACTGATTAGGGAAGGCAGGCTTTCTTCTCGGGAGTTAGATCCTGTTAGCCCTAGGTCGGGTAGTGTTATTTCGGATTTGCGTCCGGTACTGAAATTTAAAGCATGACCCTGAAAATTTTTTTTATTTGAACGCGTGGCGGAGGCAAGGTGCTTGTGCTTCAGTGTGTCCTCACTGGGAGGGCGCAGGAGGCTTATTCAGCCATTTGTTGTGAGGTTAATTTGGACAAGAAAGGGTAAAATCTGTCATATTGAAGTCATATGAGTTGGTGCCCAAGGCATATCGTCTAAAGTTCCGAAACTGGGTCAAGGGTGCGGAACAGACAAACGTGGAATTTGTACGCGATTTAACCTCTCATTTTCAGCGTTGGTGCGCAGCAGAGAAAGTTGTTAATGTTGATCTTTGTGAACTGATTATATTAGAGCAGTTTAAAAATACTCTCCCACAACGGATTGCCCTATATCTCGCTCTCCACAGCAGTTAAAGCAGCTGAATTGGCTGACTCTGTGCTGACGCATAAAGGGAATATTGGGAATGCGTGTTCTGGAGTGGGGTGGAAAGGTGCCAACTACCCTGTTAATTTTTACAGCGGTGTAAGTATTGTAAAATCTGCAGCTCGCCCCTGCAGGGGCTGGGCGAGCTGGGTTGTGTAACTGCTGCCACGGGGAAGGTCACTGGAAGGACCAGTGCCCCTTGTTAAAATCAACAGAGAAACATAATTTGTCCTTTCATGCTCCAGTAATGTGGTGTTCTACTGTTGCCGTGAGTACACTGTCAGTTGGCGACCTGAGTGTATGCCGAGGTGTTGCACCATTCAAGGAGCTTGTGTTAACTATCGGTTCCGGGTTTAAACCTTTCATCACTGATGCTATGGTGTCATTAGTCGGGAGTCCAATTAAGATGTTGCGTGATACAGCAGCTAAATATTCCTTTATTGTTGAGTCGGTGCTGCCTTTTTCCACGGAGATGGGGGACCTTGTCCTGATGACTGGGATGGAAATGGGTTTGATTCTGTTGCCGCGTCATAAAATAGTGCTGAACTGTAATCTGGTGCAAGAAGTTGTGGCTGTCAAGGTGTGTCCCGCGTTGCCAATTGATGATGTACATATGATTTTGGGCAACAACCTAGCTGGCGGTGTGTTGTGGGCAAGCGTGCCATCACCTTTAGTTGTTTCTCATCCAGTAGAATGTGGGGTGCGAGATGAAAGTGGTTTACTGGTTTATTACCTGAACTTCCTTCTGTTTCAAGGGAGGATTGGGTGAATAGCCAGAGGGCCAATTCATCTTTCTGTTCTTTGGGATGAGGTTTTGTCTGCTGATGTAGCCCAGGGTTATTTTGTTGAGGACGACTTGCATGTGCGTAAGTGGACGCCCTCTTTTGATGACTGAGACAATTTTTCAGGTAGTGGTGCCAAGTGGGTTTTGTGAAAAATGCACATGAGAGTTGTGGATAGGGATGAGCGAGTACAGCATTATCTGTATCATTGTTAACCATATGAATTATCTGTACTTGGACTGGGCGGGATTTAACCCGGAAGTCGGTCGGGTTGTCTTGAAATGGGCGGGGCTTTAACCGGTATGTCATTTTAAACATGCAATTGATATGGGTTGATCAGAAATTATATTTATTGCTTATTAGAAAACTATTTACATGACAGCATCAGCATTGAGCTTCAGATCAATGGTTTTCACGATAACAAACGAACTATATACAGAACAAGTTTTGCAACAATGAATACAACACATGCGGTTGCAATTATGAAGTAAAATGTAATGAACAAGAGTTTTCATACTCAACAGAACTTTCTGTTTTTAACTTTTAGTTGTGTGTTTTTTTTTATGAGTGTGATTTTTGTTTTGGTTCTTTTTTTAGTTTATTTCCACACCAGAGGCCTGTACCACGAAGCAGGATTTGAGCTTATCCAGGTAACTTCGGGGTTAACCCTGGGTTTTCATTACCATGAGTGGTTCACTTCTTAGCGGGGTAGGTCTCCATGGTAACTTACGCTGAAGGCTAACCTACTCCGGAGTAGGTTATGTTCCAGAAAAGGGATTAACTCTGTGAAAACGCCGCCTACTGACCAATCAGCTCTCTTGGAAAATGACATCACCATCTGTAGGAAATCCTACAGATTGTTTTAGCCAATAGGCTGCTTTATGTTTGCAGTGGTGATGTGGAGAAACTCTTGACTATGGCGATCCTACAGAGACTAAATTTTGATTAAGATTAAAAGCCTTAGGCTAATGTTGCCTACAGATTTTTACAGTACAGCAGGATCAGCCTACTTACTGCCTTTAAATGTGTTTAATATTTTTTAATTGCTCCCAGTCCGTTTCACACACCCTGACGCAGCAGGGTTTTATTTTTCTTATGTGGCTGAATATTATGAGCAGTTTGCAGCAGGGTTGTAGCCAATTATGTGGTCTGGTCGCTGCCACACAAACCACTGTTTGCTACTCCTAGGTGCGCTAAAGATACTGGTCTCTGCCACACCGACCACTGGTCGCTACCACAGTATCTAAGGGAAGGCTCCTTTCTGTTCCTTGTCACACAAACTGTGGCTGTATTAAAATGTCAGTTTCAAGTTTTTATACAGTCTATGGTTCCAAAGTAGACCTAAAGTGACCTTAGATCATTAAAATGATCAATAACTGGCAGATGATACAATTTTTTTTTATTTTTTTTTGTCTAATAGAGAGGAATGGATCAAAGCAATTAGATGTGTTGAGAAATTTTCTACTGTATCAGGCTTAAGAATGAACTTGAACAAATCTGTTTATTAGGCTACCTCAGAAGTTAATGGTATCCCTGTGAAGAACCCAGTTACATATCTGGGTGTGATAAGAATGAAAAACTGTGCAATAACCTAAACTTCAGCCCTATGATTAAACAAATAATGAAAAAGGTTCAACATGTGGTGGATGAGGGATATTTCACTGAATAACAGAGTTCTAATACTGAGGGAATATCCAGATCTATGTATCCTTATCACTGGAAATGCCTACTGAAATATGCAAAGAATTAGATAAGATCTTATTTAATTTCATTTGGAGGAACAAATGTCATTATTTAGGGAAAGATACCCTATGCAACATAAAAAAATTGAGGTAAAGTTTTGAAACCTTAAACAATACTTTCCAAAGTTAAATGGCTAACTAAGTTGATAAAATGGCCTGGAAATGAATAAATAGTATTTTATTCGCATGGTTGCCATTATTCAATTCAAAAACACCAAAGTATGAAGAAAACTTAATCTTTTAATTTGGCGATAGAGGGCATGAGACGAGGCTCCACAGTCTTGGGTTGCTGCCACACATACCACTCCTCGCTGCCACACCGACCACTGCTGCCACACTGGTTGTTGTGGTCGCTGCCACACTGGTCGGTGTCGATAATATTGTAGGCTATATTTATCAAAGTATTGTGATCTAGATAGATGTATTAGCCTACTGTAGACTGGCTACAACCACACAAACTGCAATATACTGTATGCCTACAGTGCATCAATAAGACATAATAGAGTATATTTTACTAAGTATTCTGATATAGAAAGATGTACACACTTTCAT